TCCAAACCACTATATGGCTAATCAGAAACAGGCAGTAGCACACTTTAGACTTACACAGTCCCTATTTCATTGTACATAAGCACAAAAGTTTCTGGTGTAAGTTAATGATAGGTAAATTGTGCCACTGAGTCCTAATATAGCATGCTATTTTTTTTTCCTGGATCTCAAATTATTATTTTTTTAAATCAAAGCTTCTTTCTTCAGTACCTTTCTTCTTTTAAAATTGTTAGTTTTATAGTTTTAATGTGGCCCTGTATGTTGTTTTCAGGAGCAACCCAGTTACTTATAAGATGGGTAGCTTACAAAAATTTTAAATAAATAAAATAATCATAGTTCTATTTTTGATCAGAGATCTGTAATGACTATTGTATGTATATTGAAACCATGAAAGAAGACAGTTACTATCAACTCAAACATTATTAAATCCTAATTAAAACATACATTAAGGAAAGAATAAATTTACACATAAAAAGACATGTCAACATAAGACATGGTTAAGAGGCGGAAACATTAGAGGTCACATCTGATACAGATCACACTGACATGGTAATGAATAAAAAGACTATCACCAAGAAGGCTGAATGACTGTCTCCCTATTTATTTCAGAATATTCTATATTTAATTATATTTTTAAATGACAGTAATTATGTTAGTTCTAATATAGGTGAGAAAGTTTTCAGATAATTAATAATCTGAAAACTTTAAAAGCATGTAAATAGGAAAAAAGGTTATGGTGACTTAAATAGAACATCAGTAGTTGTGGGGAAATTATTCAGTGTATTTTATTAGAATGTTCTCAAAGAAACAACATGCTTCCATTTTTTTAATGTACTCCAAGTATAAGTTTAATGTACTCAAGCTAAATAAAAGGAATTTAAAAATGCATCCTAGAACCCTCAATCATATAGCACAAAGCACTACATTGGTGAAGAACATATTAATAATGATATTTATTGACTAATTCATGGCACAGCATTTTAGAAGTTACTAGCTCTGGAGCAGAGTATAAGAAAGCAAAGTACTAAATCAATTAGCTTTCATTATATGATAGTCCTTTTGGCCTATTGCTGGCATTTAGTTGAACTTCCTTCTCTGCCAATAATATACTGTTCAATTATTTATTTAAAAAATATGTTATGCCAACTTCTGCTTCTTATGAATTTGAATAAGTCCCTACTTCTTTCTTGTTATACAACAAAAAGGTAAAGAAACAATAGTCACTTGGATACTAGCTTTAAACTTCTTCAAAAGCTGATGCAAGAGAATTATTCTTTCATTCATGCATACTCCATGTTATTGCTCAACTATCCAGCAATATAGCAAATTACTCACATTCTCTACTTCCTTACCTGGCTTACACACCCCATTGGGTGTTTACGCAACAGGGCTATGAGCAATGCTTAATCATGGTGCCAGGACTTAAGATACAGTGAATTATCCTTCTTGATGTGACCTTCCTGTTTTAGTCCATCTTAAAATGTATATGTCATAGCTAATTACAAAAGATCAATACAGTACACCAAGAAAGTTCAATCGTAAAATCTACGCACAAAGAACAAACAGCTGCTTCCTTCCAGAGCCATAAAAATAGGGGAAGGAAGGAAGCAGCACAGCAGAGAAATATACAGCCTCAAAACTTCAGATAGGTTCCATGTGCCTGCAAGATAACTTCCCTTCAAAATTACATGAATGAAAACAAGGGATGCAAAGTCAAGATCAACATGTTATCCCATGGTGTCCTCATGCTTCCCTTACTTTAGAGAGAATGAATCAAATGAATTCAAAGGAACCCCTTCCCCTAACATCAATACCATACTGAAGCATCATCTGAGCATCAACGCTTAAGAGAAACAAGCAAAATAACCTGAAATAAAGACACCAAAACTGCAGAGAACACTTCAAACAGGACTAAAAATACAGGTAGTTCTCAACTTACAACAGTTCATTTAGTGACCATTCAAACTTACAACAGCACTGAAAAATGTGACTTGTGATTTTTTTTCCAGTTACGACCTTTGCAGCATTCCCATGATCATCTGATCAAAATTCAGATGCTTGGCAACTGGTTCATATTTATGACTATTGCTGTGTCCCAAGATCATCTGACCACCTTTTGTGACCTTCTGATAAGCAAAGTCAATAGGAAAGCCAGTTTCATTTAACAACCAGGTTACTAACTTAACTGTAGTGATTCACTTAACAATTCTGGCCAGAAAAGTTGTAAAATGGGGCAAAACTCACTTAACAAATGTCTCACTTAACAACAGAAATTTTGAGGTCAATTGTGATCATAATTTGAGGAGTACCTGCATGCCTCTGTTTAAAAAAAACAATCACAATAATAAATAAATAAATATGTCTTCAGAATACAAAACGTAAATATATTTTCAGAATACATCTTTATAATTTGTCCTCAAAATAAATATAGGGAGATTAAGGTAAAAAAAATGATATAGTACAACCATTGCAGTTCATTATTGTGGACATATCAACACACTCTTATCAACAGCGGGAAAACAAAAGCACATATTCCCATATTGTTTACCTTACAATTCCTGGAATTTTTAGGCAACACATGATTGGAGTCAGTTAGCATTTGAGAGGAACATGGACATAGTCTTAGTCTAAATTTGGGAACCCCTTTACAGTCACCCCATAATTGGTATAATTTTCCCTATCATTTGACTAAGCCTTCCAAGTGTTTATGTATAGGAAATATTCTTCAACTCTGGCATTGGTTGAATTAAGTTGAAGTTGTAATGGGAGGCCAGAGTCCCCACCATCACCAAAAGGAATCCCCAAAATGTATCTTAGATGGACATTAAGGCCTCAATCCACATGGACTGAAAGCTAATGTTGCCAGCATATGTACCAATAAAGCAAGGAATATGGTCCGGCATGTCATAAATGGTTTTGACATGAAGAATTTTCTTTCTCTTCCCCTTAAACAAATAATCTTCTTTGAATTAGTGACCTACCAGTCTCCAATAATTAAAAGTACCAAACAGAGGAAGTGTAACTGCAACCCCAAGTAACACTGAGGTGACTAAATGAGATTACACAAGGATACCAGGCTTTCTCAAGAAAAAGGCAATGATAGATGCCAAGGATTAAATCTTATTACCAGTGCAGAGCTATTGATCTATGTGCAAGAGATCAAGAAGAAAACTGACAACTGGAATTCTTTTATCCTTTATCAGCCAAGTATGATTGGACACACAAGGAATTTGTCTCCAATGCATAAACTCTCAGTCCTTAAATAGTACATTTATATACTATGCACAAGCTTTTCATATGCATTCTTGTACACTCACAATCCCTATAACGGTATATATTCACTTTAACTGTTTCTCTAATATTCCTTTTTTTTTAAATGGAACCTGCTTTCATTAATAATATTCCAGGGGTAATTAAAAAGAGATTCATCCAGATGTATGACATAACAATTGCCCACTTACAAGCCTGATCATATCAGCTATAGATGACAGCAGATTTTAAGATATCAAGTTTCTATAAATAGCTGCTACTTCCTCTGAAATGATTGAACAAGTATAAATCTGGCTTTAAAACTGCTTTGTTACATATTTGATTGATTCTCAAATTTATGTAAAGGAAAGGAGATAAGCCTTCTTCGTAACTCAAGTTGTGTTCTGCAGTGGGTGCAACATCCCAATAGGCTTTTCAAATTCAGAGACAAGTCCTCAAAGTAAAACCTTGGTTTCCTTTCAAGAAATCCTTGGTGCTGGGCAATGGATAAAAATCAACAGGCATTGTTTATGCCTGCCCATAGAGGGAAAAAAAACCAAGAAGAAAACAAATCACCTCTTGCGTTGCTATGTACATGATAGTTTCACTGCCTAATGCCCAACCATTAACAATACAGTGAGATAAATTTTATCTATTTTATCTGTAATGCGAAGAAGGGCAGGGGAGCATTTTCCCAGGATAAAAATGAAGGGATAAGAAAATTTCAGCCTTTCAGATAAGCCACTATTAAGCTCCACAATCTTTATCAGTAGAATACTGACAGTATTGCAGCTGTATCTGCATCATTTACAATTCATGAAGCTTTTCTTTTTCCTAAGATATTTTTATCTGTGAATAACCTGTCCACTCCACAGAGCCATTTAAGAAAAGGGGGGGGGGATTTAGTTTGGCAAATAAACAAGAGGAAGTATTTTGCATTTGCTGTTCCAATGGGGAAAGCTTTTGCATACAAAGATGAAGTGATAGAAAAACTTTTTCCAATGAATGTGCGCCAGGCATCCATTAAAGTGAAGGGACATTTCCCTCCCTTGAAAAAAAATATCTCCCAACAGAAAAAAATGGGCAAATTTAAAAAAGAAACGCTTTGCACTTCTTAGACAAGACAGCTTTACTTGGTAGAAAGAAGATCAAGAAAAAATCAGCTGCTTGATATTTCTCAGCATAAGAGAACCTCAAAAATGGGGTTCAGAGGAAAGCTACAACATCCACAAACAGAAAAGCAAGTAGGCAACTCCATTGGCAAAACAAACCCAAACCCCACAAAATACACCGCTGAGATTTTCAAGTCCTGCAGAACTCTCCACCAGCAATTGGCTTGCAATTCCATGAGAAGAAACGGGGCCGATTGATTGATTGATCGATCGGTTGGTTTTTGCATCCATTACCCCGGTGGATTTTTTAAAGAGTCCCAATTTGGAGAACCAATTCATTTTGGTTTTTTTACTAACTAACTCCATTTGATAAGGTCCTAAAGATATTGCGCAGCGAGTCAACTCTTTTTAAGAGGCAGGCGGCTGGGCAAATAAAGAAATGGAGTGGCGGGCATCCCTAACGGGAAGAGCAAGCTTCAGGAAGTCAGGAGCGGGGGGGGGGGAGACAAAATGACACGCATTTTCTCCCCCTCGGGCGCTTCTCCCCCACCCGCGGAAGTGGCGAGACCGGCCGTCCTACCCCCCCCCTTCCCGCGTCACGAACCCGCCACGCACCCTTCCTTCTGACACGGCAGCGCTCACCTTCGCAGAGGTAGCCCGCCAGCCCCCAGATGAAGTCGGTGCAATAATGACAGAAGGTGGGCTTGGTGAGGGTGACCCTCTTGAAGCCGTGGCCGGGCTGGTTGCCTCGAACCGTCGGAGGGGGCGGCTGCTGCTTGGGGGAGGCAGGCGGCGTCTGGTGTTGGTGGTGTTGCTGCAGCGAAGTCGAAGAGGACGACGACGGCGTGGGCAGCGAGCGGCTCTTGCCGCCTCTGGCCATCAGCGGGCTGGACGCGGGGCTGGAGCCGCGGCTGCCTCCCAGCAGGGAACGGGCTCCTTCTGCCATGCTCAGGCGGCAATTGCTGCCGCGTTCCCGGATAGCGCAGTACCCCCGCTTCTTCTGGGGAGAAGAAAGCGGCTTACTCCCCCTCTTTTCCAAGCAGACAGCCGGGCGCTCGCTCGCTCCCTCCGCCAGCGGCAACAGCGGCGGCGGCGGCTCTAAGCGAGACTTCCGCCGCGCTTGCCAGGCAAGCCAGAGAGAACGGCGGGCCGTGGGCGAAGAGTAGGAGGAGGAGGAGGAAACAGGCGGAGGGAGAGGGAGGGACGCAAAGGGCGGTGCTTGGCGGCGCCGACGGCCGCTACCCGGCCTTCGCCTCAAGGCCGCCTCCTGTCGGGCTGGCCGCGAGCGAGCCGGAGTCTGAGGAGAGGTGAGGAGGGCGCCGACGCCTCGAGCCCTGAATGGCAGCGTGGCCCTCGGTGCCAGCCTTTTGCTCGTCTCTGGGGATATCAGATCGGCTCTGGATGCCTCACCGACGTCTGAGGTTATTCGGTCAGAAGGGCTGACCGGACAAGTGGCGGGACCCCATTTTCCTCTCTTGCCCTCTTTAGAACTTAGAATAACTTTATTGTCGCTTTGAATGTAGGCTAATATCGGCATACATTGCAATGAAATTTCGTTGCCTAAAGCTTTCAAAGGGTCACCACCTCTAATATGCACTACATAAAGCATGACACCAATCAATCAATCAATCAATATGTGCATATACCCACATATACGGCACAGAGAAACAACACAGTCGATTTCGGCTGTATGTATGTACGTGGTAAGAAAAAGGATTCTTGCGAGTTTACTCAACTGATTTGGCCATATACTTAGGAAGGTGACAGCTGCATGGAAGAGTTACGCATAACTCTTGGCCGACATCTACTCTACTACTGTAGTCATCGGGATTTTTTCCAGGTCAGGTATTGTTGGAAGAAATGTCCTGGGTTCAGTTTCAAGTAGGGAAAAAGACACTGGAAACATGGAAGCTGCTTGGAAAGATGGTTTAATGGTGGACAGGATCACATGGCTTGAGTTCCTGAACAGAAAGGGGGAATCACACACTTACAGATGTTGGCTGAAGAAGAAGAAAAAAACACCAAGATGCTGAAAGACCCTGGTTTTATGCCCTCTCTGGACTTTGATCTTGAGCTTGTATTCTGATTGGCTGTCAGACTCCCCTGGGGCCATTCAGGAGCAACTTCCTAGGTTGTCTCCCCAGCTTGCTTGATTTGCTGGTTGATGATGTAATCTTCCCAGGTGCCATGTGGTGAGATGGGAAAAGGGCGAATACTATCATGCCTTAATCCCATTACCCTGGAGCTGAAGGGGGAATCTGTGTTAGGTAGAATAGAGTGGCTCAGGCTCATTGACAAAGGTGGGAGGGAGCTGAGTTTCTGTCTCCCATTTACAGGAAATATTCTGACCTTTTAATATTTCCTAAAATATTTCATTTTCTAGTAAAGGGGTGGGTTTAACTTCCTATGGTATAATAACCCTAATACCAGTGGTCCTGGTTTTACGACCACAGTTGAGCCCCAAATGTATGTTGCTGAATGAAACTTTAAGTGAGTTTTGCCCCACTTTACAAGCTTTCTTGCCACAGTTGTTAAGTAAATAATTGCAATTGTTATGTTAGTAACATGGTTGTTAAATCAATCTGGTTTCCCACTGACTTTCCTGGTCAGAAGGTCGCAAAAGCTGATTGCATGAGCCTGGGATACTGCAACCATCATAAATGTGAACCCATTGCCAAGCATCTGACTTTTGATCCTGTGAAGGATGCTGCAATGGTCATAAGTGTGAAAAATGGTCATAAGTCACTTTTTTCACTGCCATCTTAACTTTGAACTATCACTAAATAAACTGTTGTAAGTCGAGGACTACCTGTAAAGGACAATTTCACTTTTTTCTTTTCTTTTTTGTCCTTCCGGTCCATGTTGGTTCCCGGTAACTGCCTGGGTAAGTCCCTGGAGTTTTCTTGGCAAAGTTTTTCGGAAGTGGTTTCTCCTTGCCTTCTTTCCAGGGTTGAGAAAGAGGAACTGCCCCAAGATCACCCAGGTGGCTAGTACCTGATACCTTAACCCCTTCATCAGGGATGTCCAACCTTGGCAACTTTAACATTTGTAAATTTCAACTCCCAGAATTCCCCAACCAGAGCCTTAAGTTATAAAGGTAAATATTTCCCATATTCAGTTGTTTCTGACTCTAGGTGATGGTGCTCATCTCTGTTTCTTAGCCAAGTGAGATGGTGTTGTCCGAAGACACTCCCATGGTCATGTAGCCAGCATGACTATATGCCAAGGAGCACAGAATGCTGTTACCCTCCTATCAAAGTGGTACTTATTTATCTATTTGCATTTGCATGCATGCTTCCGAGCTGCTAGGTTAGCAGAAGTCCACAAGTCTTAAAATTGCCAAGGTTGGCATCTCTGCACTACATCAACTCTATCTTAACTAATAGTTTCTTGTTTTTCCCTTTGAAACCATGGGGTGATGGTCACCTCTGATGAGACATTCAAAGATACAAGGCCTCCTCCAGAGTGTTTTTAGAAATAAGCAGCCTAAAACATGCTCAGAGAATCTTCTGCTGGATACGTGTTTGAATGTGACATACTTTTTTTTTTAAAGACCTGTTTTGGAACAATATGTGAATGGGAAACAATGGGAAGGTTGCATTCTGCTAATTCTTTTTTGAATTCTGCTTGAAGCAATAAAATGCTTAAACTGCACATGCTAAACCAAGTGTGGTTATTTATTTATTTTAAGTTATTCTGGATAAAAATAAGCCTATCCTTCACAGATACAGGGACATTGACCTAGCAATGTTTTAAAATTAGCATTTTTTGTTTAACTAGCCATGTCCTAATTCAGTTAATATAAAAGGAGTAAGGGTAGGTTCATACATCTCTTAGAATCATTCTGACAAATTGCAAGTAGGCAACATTTCAGCAGTCACATTTTAGAGCTCTTGAATCAATGAAATTATCCTAAACTCCCCTATATCCCAACAAGAAGGCAGTTGCAATAATACTTTCTGCATTGCTTCAAAAGTGATATTTCCATCCACATAATTTCTTAGACCAAGTGTTTCTCCACCTTAGCAACTTTCAGGTATATGGGCTTCAATTCCCAGAATTCCTCAGCTAGGACTGGCTGGGGAATTCTGGGAGTTGAAGTACATTGATCGGAAAGTCACTGAGGTTGAGAAACAGTGATCTACACAATGTCTGTGCTCCTGTTGGTCATTATTCAGAGCTGCTTGCATGCTTTCTCCTGATCACTCTCCTGCTGCTACCCTTCACAATCATTTTCAGGATGTCTGAATCTTGACAAGAAAAATACACTAGGTTAAACCTGATCCCCATTTTTTTTAAATCTCTGGTTCCTTCTCCAGTAAGTGGTACTTCTAAACCTCATTCTATCTGCAGATGCAGCCAGTGTACCAGTTCTTAAAACAAGTAATAGTTGAAGAGAATCACTACCCCAGATCTAGTTCTTTCTCTGTTTATAAAACTGGTTCATGAATGGATCACTAACAAGTGGCTCTTCCTTGTTTTTGTTTTAAACTAGATGAAACTGACACGTATTTAGCCAGTTTCACATTTTGGCACAAGTTATAAGAAGAAAAAGAACTGAGGATGGTGCTGTATTATATTAGTCCTTGACATATGACCCCAATTGAGATCAGAATGTTCGTTGCTAAGCTAGGCAGTTGTTACATGTATCGTGCCTGATTTCATGATCTTTTTTGCCACTGTTAAGCGAATCGCTACAGTTGTCAAGTGAATCAGGCAGTCATTAAGCAAGTCCAGCTTCCTCCATTGACTTTGCTTGTTGGAATTGGGTTGGAAAGATTGAAAATGGCAATCAGATGATTCCACAATGCTGCAATTTTTGTAAATAGATTCCAGTTGTCAATTTTGACCTCGAGACTGTGGAGATCCTATGACAGTTGTAACGAGAAAGTCTGGTCTTCTAAGTGAGGAACAGTGGCAAGTTACTTTTTTCAATACATTATAATTTCGCACAGTTGCTAAACAAACTGTAAAATGTTATTTTTATACCATTCTGCTGGTAAATGCATTGGATGGGAAGGTGTAAAGCAGGTATGTCAAACTCATGGCCCATGGGCCAGATGTGTCACACACTAGCCATGCCCACCCCCAGTTTAGTGAAGGGGGAAACAGTTCTGATGTGCCACATGAAGACATGTAGTTGTGAGTCTGACATCCCTGGTGTAAGGGGTAATGAGTGGAGGTAGGTTCATTAAAAAAAAAAGGCTCTATCAATAAAATCCCCATTTCTTGAAGATTACCCACAGAAAGAAAAGCAACTGGCTTTTATTAACGAAGTAGAGAAGCAGGGAAATCAACCAATCAGAGTCTGTGGCAACTGGTATTTAGAGAGAATGCATGGCCAAAATTCCAAAGCTTAAAATCCAGGCAGAAAGTTTCTAAACTGTCTCTATTTCCAGTCGATTTTAACAAAGGAGACAAGCAACTTAAGCCTACAATACAAAAGAATTTTTAAGCCACAAACCAAATTATGTTACGACTTACAGCTATGTGTGAACCATGTCACTGTTTATTTCTCATTACACCGGAAACATCTTCATTTGTATATTCAAAATCCTATTTTTTTTTAGCATATACAACTTGAGAATGTCAACATGAAATATGGTTGATTTCATGCACCTTCATTGGATCAAAAGCTGAATTAAAGTGATACCAGATCTTCAAAAGTGTTCATTGCAAACACTATTATCTATAATGCTACATAAAAAATAGATTTGGCAATGAAAAAAATGGAACATCAGTGTCATTACTTAAATATTCCACATCCCCACAGTGGAATAAAACTGTTCTTAATTTGAAAAGTGGAATTATTCCTATAGATAGCTAGAGGTATGCTTTAATTCTGTGGGAGTGCAGAACCTGGCACGAACACAAAATACTTTGACTGCTTGAGCTTTCATCTGGAGAGGGGTATACAGCTAGACAGAACAGGTTTCTGGTTTTGAGGATTGAGAAAAATGTGCTTGAAAGCAGGAGGGCAATGCCTACTAATATTTTCCATGAAAAACTACAGTGCTGCAAATCTCTGCTCTTAAAACATCCAACATTTCCACACACTCCTCAGGAGAAACATGCACATCTAATCTTTCATTTTTTTGGCTGTTCATTACTTATCAT